ACAAGCCTGTGCTCGGGCAAGAACAGTTCCAAGCCCGAGCTGCTCGTAGTGCGCCGGGGCAATCCTGTTGCCAGCGCAGGAATGGGGGGAGCAATCCTGTTGCCACAGCAGGATTGAGTGGGGCAATCCTGTTGCCACAGCAGGATTGAGTGGGGCAATCCTGTGCTCACGCCAGGATTGACGGCAGGGCGTGTGAATGGTGAAAAAAACACTCCGTCACTACCCCGCCGAGGAGCAGGCCGGACCTTCGGCGCTGGCCCGGTGATGGGTTTTTCGGGCTGAAAACCAACTCTGGAAGCGATGCGCTCCCCATCGCATCGCTTTTAGAGGATTTTTCGGGCAAAATCGGAAGCTAGAGCAAAGTCGGAATTCCGACCTCGGTGGAAGAATTCCGACCTCGGGTGGCGCGGGCTCGGCAGGCTGGAGGCTTCTATGCCGGGCAGGTGGCGCGGCCGGGGGCTTCTATGCCAGGCAAGTGGCGCGGCAGGGCGGAGGCTTCTATGCCAGGCAGGTGCGGCAGGCACCAAGCCGCTGAACCCTCACAGTCCCCCGGCTCCTTGCTATATGTGCTATATGTGCTATATGGGTCTCACAAGGCAAGCCGCAGAACCTCCACTCTCCCCCGGGTCCTTGCTATGTGCTATATGTGCTATATGGGTCTTACACGCCAACCAGCAGAGCTGTATACTATACACATAGCATCTCAACATGTACCAAATATGCCTTGTATAGCACATATAGTGTATTTTAACGCGCGTCTCGATAACATATAGCACATATAGCACATATAGCAAGGAGCCCGGAGAGTGTGGGGGTTCAGCGGCTTGGCGTGTAAGAGCCATATAGCACATATAGCACATATAGCAAGGAGCCCGGAGAGTGTGGGGGTTCAGCGGCTTGGCGCGGCTTCAATGCCGGGCAGGCTTCGATACCATATAGCACATATAGCACATATAGCAAGGGGCCCGGAGAGTGTGGGGGTTCAGCGGGTTGGCGCGGCTTCAATGCCGGACAGGCTTCGATACCATATAGCACATATAGCACATATAGCAAGGACCTGGGGGACTGTGCAGGTTCGGCGGCTTGGCGTACACGCGTTTTTGGTTCAATTTTGTTGCAATATTGCGGCGACGAGAGTCAACCCGCTCCAGGGGCCAAGGCTGCTGGCCTCGTACGCCACGAACGCCGCGCTCTCCGCCAGCGAGACCACGCTCCAGCGCCCTCGACGCAATCCTCGCGGAGCGCGCCGCCCTGCAGCTTTCCGGCAGCGGCGGAGTTGTTAACGCGCCGGCCTGGGCGGGCTTCGCAACTTGGGAGCTCGTTCGCGCAACGTCGTTCGCAACCTGCATCTGAGGCTCCTCTCTCTGCTGCGCTGGCCAACGGCGACGACACGCTGAGCATCACGGCCGACTGCTACTCCGTCGCGCGGCGGACGCGGCCCTCGCGGCTGCGCTGGCCTACAACACCTCGGCGCAAGTGGACGCGCTGTTGGTCGACTACCGCACGGAAACGGCGCAGGTTCTCTCTCTTTAGAGGGGGTTTCCCAAATGGATTCTATTCCACCTGGGAGGCTCCTAGCACTCGTCCGTCCAGGAAATGACCTCGTCCTGCGAAGGATTCGAAGTCTAAAACGCTGCGTGCAGGCGTGTGGCTGCAAAATAATGACCCCGAGATATGCGCCGCAATTTGGCTCCAGGTTGCATTTCAAGCGAGCCAACCTTTGCAGGGCTAAGAAAAAAACAAAAAAAGAAAAAAAGGGTTCCCAAAAAAGGGGTCCCAAAAAAAAGGGAAAAGGGGTTTCCTTTGGCAAAGCTTGACATCGCTTGAAATGCAACCTGGAGCCAAATTGCGGCGCATATCTCGGGGTCATTATTTTGCAGCCACACGCCTGCACGCAGCGTTTTAGACTTCGAATCCTTCGCAGGACGAGGTCATTTCCTGGACGGACGAGTGCTAGGAGCCTCCCAGGTGGAATAGAATCCATTGACGAAGGCCGCATTAGCCATCTTGGTGCCCACCTCCAGCGGAGTGTCCAGCCCGTCCACCGTGGAGAGCAGGGAGGCCCGCACGCTGGCGTCCGCCTTGCCGGCGAGGGCGGTGTCCAGGGCTGCCGTGGTGACTGCGCCCAGGAGGGCCGCCGCTATCTTAGAGTCCACCTCTGAGGAAGTGTCGGCAGACAGCAGGGCGTAAGCTGTCAGCACGCTGGCGTCCGCCGAGGCAGCGCTGCGGCGGACACGGCCCCCAGGAGAGCGTTGGCCACCTTGGTGTCGACCTCCAGCGGCGTGAGCCTCGCCGCTATGTCTAGGGAGCGCTGGTCCACCGCCGTCTTGAGGCCGTAGTTGGCCGAGGCGATGGAGCCGTTCATGGCCGCCGTGGTAGTTGGACAGCTTTAGGTCCACGCCGTCCGGGGTGCTCTTCGTGGCCACACGCCCAGCACGTCGAAGGCCGACTGGTCTGCCTTAGTTGGAGAGACCCGTGGTCAGCGAGCTGTCAGCGAGCTCTGCAGCGCTGCGATGCTGCTTTGGCCAGGGCCGCCGCCGTGGCTAGAAGCGCAATTGCCGGCGCCAGCGTGCTGCTGTCCAGCTTTGAGGCCAGCTCTGCGGTGACCCGGTCGCTCTCTCTTTAGAGGGGGTTTCCCAAATGGATTCTATTCCACCTGGGAGGCTCCTAGCACTCGTCCGTCCAGGAAACGACCTCGTCCTGCGAAGGATTCGAAACCTAAAACGCTGCGTGCAGGCGTGTGGCTGCAAAATAGTGACCCCTAGATATGCTTGCAATTTGGCTCCAGGTTGCATTTCAAGCGAGCCAAGCTTTGCAGGGCTACGAAAAAACAAAAACAGGAAAAAAAAGGGGTCCCCAAAAAAGGGGTCCCAAAAAAAAGGGAAAAGGGGTTTTACATGAGGTGCATTTTGCGCCGGTGAACAAATCAAACACACCCCCCTCTTATTTGATGTCTTCTCCACGAAAGACGAGCCTGATTTGTTCGTCGAGGGTTCTCCCGTTCGCCCGTCTGTGCGCGAACTCTCACTCCGTCGCCGCTTTTTTTCTCTGCGGCGCGCGCGGTGCCATGGCATGGCGCAAACGCGGAGTTCTCTGCAATCCGGAAGTATTTTGCTGGTTGAGGTGCAAGATTCGGCTGTGGCTCAAAAACATGTACCAAAAAGGCACCTAAATGGAACCAAGGACTAAAACCTGCGTAACCCCGACTCTTTAATTTTGAGCCACACCCATGATGAATAATCTAAGTTCATGCCCACATCGCTGCAAAAGCGCATGGCGAACTTTCACTGCTCTCGACGCACTGCTCCACATGTGCAGAAGGCCATGCCTTGCATTTGAGGCGAAAGACCTAGGACTTTCACTGCTCTCGCCGCGTTTTTTTTGGAACCAGAACCGCATCGCCCTGTTTTGCTCATCGGGCTCTTTCCCCTTGAGTTTCTTCGACCTCCTTTCTGTTCCGACGTGTCACGAAAACGCGATCGAGCTTGCTCAACGGAAGTTTCCTTTTGAGCGTGTCAGATTCCGCGAGTAAAGAAAGGCAGCTCCCGTCGGCGGCAAATGTTTTGGTCGTGGAAACCCCGAGGCAAACGCGTCGGCCGCAAACTCCGGGTACCGTCGCCTCGTGGGGTTCCAAGGAATTCGAAGGAGAAGCTGAGCTGAGATTCAATTGGGTTTCTATGAAACCCCCAAAAACCCAATGGGTTTTATAAATGGAGGTTTCGTTGGATAAACTTGGGGCATCGAGGCACAATCAACGCGCCGTTTCCGGGGTGCTTTCTCGCCATGGCGTGCCCGCACCTGTCGAATCGCTGTGTCCCATGGGATCACGTTGATGCGCCAGTCGAAACATGGCGCAACCCCATCGTATGATGTCGACCCTGTACTAAAAAGGAGGTATTTACCATGGAAAACCAGGTTCTCCAAGAAATACCCTGAAAAAAGCGGGCATTTGGAGTAGGGTGTCCTCTGCCAGTTGCGAGGTGACTCTCCGATGTTTGCTTCCGACTCGCAGTGGCTCAAGAAAGCCGGGGGGGGTACTGCGACAACGGCGAAAGCGCAAAAAGCGAGTTGCCGCTTTGCTGAAGTTATATGCGGGTTTGTCTTGAAATAGGGGAATCCCCCTTTTTCCATCGGCTTCCTTCTGGTTTCCCTTTACCCACCAAGGGGACCTAAAGACATCATGTCACGTTGGCTTCGAAAGGCGTTCCGAAGCTTATCCCCGGCGGCTGGATTTCATTCCACGCGTAACGGCAATCCCATGGCCAAATCCGAAGCCCCGAACCCTCTGAAACCCACTGTTGCCGTACCCCCGAACCCAACCCGAAACCAACCCGAAACCAACCCAAAAACCCAACCCACCTTCAACTCACCCCAAACCAACCCCAAACAATCCGATACCAACCCTAACCCAGCACTGCACCGACCTTGAACCAGTTTTGATTCCACCCTCAATCACCCTAACCACATCCCTGAACCCCTTAAACTTACCTCCCCGAATCCACCATGACCCCAACCTGAAATCCATCAAACCCAAACCAACCCGAAACCAACCCTGAACCAACCCTACACCAACCAACCCTACACCCACTCTAAACCCATAAACCCATCCCACCCTGAGTCAGCCTTCACTTCCAAAGCCACAATCATCCCCCCCACCGAAACCACACGTGCAGCGCCGTGGACTTTGCCAGAGCTCCATGAGTCGTTGCAAGAGGAATTGTGTTGATTTGGGGTGTTGCGACGCGGAAATTGGCGCGGTGTTGGTCTAGCTGGTTGGAAGGGAGCCGCAGGGAGCTGCCCGGTATCCAAACTTGCCTTGTTGCAGAAGCCTTTCGCTACCAGGAGTTGTGGTTAGGGACATGTGGTTCAACTGACGATGGGCCTTTGTCAGCATTTTTTGAACAGCGGCCGCGCCGTTTTCCCAATCTGGAAACAGGTTGAACTCCCACTCCATTCGCTTCCTTCCCTCAAGCCGAGGACATGGCGGAGGCCGGGAAAGTGAGGAAAGAGGTGGGAACGGATGGGTTGACATGTCGCAGATCTCCTTTTTTTTTGCCAGCCAAAAGGGGTGTTCGGCAAAGAAATGCGCGGCGCACGTCCATTTACTCGTTTTGTCAACTCCCTGAGCCATGATTTTGAAAGCAGTTGAGCAATGGCGGCGAGAAGTGAAGCGTTCAGCTGACAGTCGTTGCCAACAAAACGTGCATGCCAGCAGCCTTTTCAGCTGCAGAATGGACATGGTGCAAGCCCTAGGATGCCCGTGCCTGCGACTGCATCCACACCTTCACCGGACACACCCGCTTTGTCACATCCATGTGCAGTCTTGGCAGGGATCTCTTTTGCAGCGGCAGCTGGGACAGCACCATCAAGCTATGGAACTCCCGAACCAAAGACTGCATCCACACCTTCACCGGACACACCAATTGGGTCAGATCCATGTGCAGTCTTGGCGGGGATCTCTTTTGCAGCGCCAGCGACGACAAAGCCATTAAGCTATGGAACTCCCGAACCAAAGACTGCGTCCACACCTTCACCGGACACACCAATTGGGTCATTTCCATGTGCAGTTTTGGCGGGGATCTCTTTTGCAGCGGCAGCTGCGACGAAACGATCAAGCTATGGAACTCCCGAACCAAAGACTGCGTCCACACCTTCACCGGACACACCAGTGCTGTCACATCCATGTGCAGTCTTGGCGGGGATCTCTTTTGCAGCGGCAGCTGGGACAGCACCATCAAGCTATGGAGCTCCCGAACCAAAGACTGCATCCACACCTTCACCGGACACACCAGTGCTGTCACATCCATGTGCAGTCTTGGCGGGGATCTCTTTTGCAGCGGCAGCTGCGACGAAACGATCAAGCTATGGAGCTCCCGGACCAAAGACTGCGTCCACACCTTCACCGGACACACCAGTGCTGTCAGATCCATGTGCAGTCTTGGCGGGGATCTCTTTTGCAGCGGCAGCTGCGACGAAACGATCAAGCTATGGAACTCCCGAACCAAAGACTGTGTCCACACCTTCACCGGACACACCAGTGCTGTCACATCCATGTGCAGTCTTGGCGGGGATCTCTTTTGCAGCGGCAGCGGAGACACAACCATCAAGCTATGGAGCTCCCGGACCAAAGACTGCATCCACACCTTCACCGGACACACCAATAGGGTCAGATCCATGTGCAGTCTTGGCGGGGATCTCTTTTGCAGCGGCAGCGGAGACGAATCTATCAAGCTCTGGAATTCCTGCACCTGTGGCTGCCTTCACACCTTACCGGACACACCTGTGCCGTCACATCCATTTGCACTCTTGGCGTGGATCTCTTTTGCAGTGCCAGCTTCGACCACACAGTCAAGCGCTGGAATTCCCGCACCTACGACTGCCCCCGCACCTTGACAGATTGGGTCAGATCCCTTTGCAGTTTTGGTGGCGACAAGATCTGGTTTGCACACCTTCACCGCCCACAAGGAAACATGCAGTTGTTTGATGCGTGCGCGGCCACGCAATCCTGTTTGCAGCGTGAGAGCAAACAAGGGCAGTAATGTTTCTGGTGTAGCAGACTTTTGGCCAAGTCTAAGCACTTGCAACACGCGGTGTCGAAAAAACACGTCAAAAAGGAGCCTTCCAGTGCAGACATTTGCGCGCCACATTTGGGTGATTAGTATTAATCTAGTTTTCTTATGCCTCGCTTGGTTTCAGCAAAATCAAGCACTGTAGTCAATGCGTCTAACCCCCTTTGCAATGGGCCTTGCTCACAGCGCTTTCGTTCCTCTTGTCAGGAGGAAGTTGTTCCGGATCAAGTCACGTTTTTTTCTTGTTTCCGATCCCCTGGCTGTGCCAATGGGAATGAAACTTTTGCCTATGGTGAGTCTGAGTTTTAGCCCAAGTCATCCAAACAAGTCGGCGAGGCAGCGTTTCTACTGGGAGGTCGATGGGCACGGTTTGATTTCCTCACCCAAGCCACTGCCAACGCTGCAAAAAATTGGCGCGGTGCGACCGGCATGCGTGGGGGGCCCCCACCCCCGCCCCCCCCGCACCCCCCGCCCTCCCCTATCCTGCGCAGACGAGCCGCGATGACAGCCTCCACACCTTCACCGGACACACCCGCTCTGTCACATCCATGTGCAGTCTTGGCGGGGATCTCTTTTGCAGCGCCAGCGACGACAAAGCCATTAAGCTATGGAACTCCCGAACCAAAGACTGCGTCCACACCTTCACCGGACACACCAATGCTGTCACATCCATGTGCAGTCTTGGCGGGGATCTCTTTTGCAGCGGCAGCCACGACAGAACCGTCAAGCTATGGAACTCCCGGACCAAAGACTGCATCCACACCTTCACCGGACACACCAGTGCTGTCACATCCATGTGCAGTCTTGGCGGGGATCTCTTTTGCAGCGGCAGCTGGGACGAATCTATCAAGCTATGGAGCTCCCGAACCAAAGACTGCATCCACACCTTCACCGGACACACCAGTGCTGTCACATCCATGTGCAGTCTTGGCGGGGATCTCTTTTGCAGCGCCAGCTGCGACAGAACCGTCAAGCTATGGAGCTCCCGGACCAAAGACTGCGTGCACACCTTCACCGGACACACCAATTGGGTCACATCCGTGTGCAGTCTTGGCGGGGATCTCTTTTGCAGCGGCAGCCACGACAGAACCGTCAAGCTATGGAACTCCCGGACCAAAGACTGCATCCACACCTTCACCGGACACACCAGTGCTGTCACATCCATGTGCAGTCTTGGCGGGGATCTCTTTTGCAGCGGCAGCTGGGACGAATCTATCAAGCTATGGAGCTCCCGAACCAAAGACTGCATCCACACCTTCACCGGACACACCAGTGCTGTCACATCCATGTGCAGTCTTGGCGGGGATCTCTTTTGCAGCGGCAGCTGGGACGAATCTATCAAGCTATGGAATGTCCCCCAGGCTGGCCTCGTGACTACGCGCGCAACATGACACAAGCCTTCCGCAGGCCCACGTGGCGCACGCCGCGACCTTGGCGAGCCAGAGTGGACTTCAGGAGGCGCGCCTGCCCGTTTTGTCCTCTTCTGCCCGTGTTTCTTCTCACCCTTTTTTGTAACCGTGTTCCTTCCCGTGTTTTTTTCCGTGTTTCTTCCTGTTTCTCTTTGCCCCTGTTTTTCCCGCTTTGCTCCTTTTTTTTCTTTTTCTTTTTAAGCTATGAGATTGCATCATCTCTCATACTCTCTCGTCATGCTTCTCTCCTTTTCCACAAGAGTTTGCAAAGATGAAGTGCCAGTGGGGGTATGCGTTCACTCAAGGCAATGCGACAAAGTTGCAGAAACACAATATACACACTTGCGAAACTTGTGCAACGTGCACAACACACCTGATGTCAACATCAGAGTGACGCTCCTGTCCGACAAGGAATCTCTTCCTACCCGCTGCATGTCATTTGCTAAATGTCGGGAGGCGTGTTTTGTGTGACTTTGATCGTTTTGAGCCTTCCCCATCACACGTACGCGTACACGTACACCACGTACTCACACACGTACACCCCCGCATGAGACAGGTGCTGATTTGTCATGGTTCTCGCACATTTCCGGCAAAGATGCCAAGAAGTCGCAAACGAAGCGCAGACGTTGCTCTTTCGGTGTACGATGGTTCCAGCTGATTTTTGCTTTCCCACAAAATGATGGGGAGCCCATTCGGCAGGGTTTGTCAGGGAAAGCAGCGCGTTTCAAAGCTTTGGGGCTTGATGTTTTGTAACACGCGCACGGGAAGTTGCCGGCGGGACTCCCAAGCTTCCAGGCGGCGAGTGCGGCCAAAGACACAGTGCGACCGCGAGAGGGCGAGACGAGAGCCCTTTGAAGCAACAAGAAATTGATGGGTGTGTCTTGTTTTGTGGGTACCCAGTTTGTTAGTGTTTTAAAGGGAAACCAAAAGGAAAACCACCATTTCGGGGGGTGCCCTTAAAAAAGACACGCCCAACTACCCGTAGCTCTTTAGTTTGACCACTTTGCCTGCATGGCTTTGCTCGTCCCCATGGGTTTGGGGGGGCTCCAATCGATCCATCAAGGCCTGTCAGTCGAGGCCTCCAAGAAAATATTCAGTGCTTGCAATTTGCTGGGCGTTGAAATGTCCAAGGCCGAGAATCCACATTTGAAGCCGCAGGCCGGATTCGCCCGGATTCGCTCGCGGGTGAACTGTGTGGCCTAAGGAAGAGCCGCAGATCGGCATTCTTCCCACGACCAAGTGGGAAGTGCCGCCCTTGCGCTCGCAATCTGACATTCGCGCTGTGCCATTTGTTAAGGACATCTCACTGCAGCGAGGCTTACTGGAGGACGACGTGAGTATTGTTGCATGGCCCACTAGAACGGGTTCTTTAGTCTCTCGCCTATGCCGCCATCTCCCCGTCGGCAACAGCTTCTTTCTCCCAGGAGCTGCGGGCGAACGATGGCATAAGAGCAGTCTGCCGGGAGATTGGTCGCATTGCCAACGCGCGGCCGCCGCGTTTGTTTTTCGCAGTTTGCTTTGCTGATTTGTGGCTTTGCTCACTTGAGCTTTGCCGGACTGGTGTCAGACTGGCACATGGCAGGATGTGGAAGTGAAGGTTGGCAGCTCAGTCTGTTTCTCCATTGGCATTACGCCGAGCGAGCTTCAGATCCCAGGCTCAAGAGCTGCCCTTTGTGGTAGCCGAGGACAGATCGTTGCGAGATCGGTGCGGTCATACTGAGCCATGTCTCAAAACGGCCTTTCTGTTGGACACGACAGGGCACGCCGCAACCGCAGGTTGCCTGGTCGATTCAACGGGGTCTCTTTTTTTTTTTTTTTTGAGGGTACCTTATTTTTGGTGGTTTTAAAGGGAAAGCAAAGAGGAAAACCACCATGTTGTGTGGTCCCCTACAAAAAGACACACTCAAAGGTTGGAGTGGGCCTCAATCCAGCATGCGCAGCACTTTGAAGCATCGCTGCAGCAACTCTAGTCAGGATTTTCTCGTCGGTTCGGTATAAATGGTTGGAACCCTGAAAAGTCTTGCTTTGCAACCCTCAGAGGGGTACCAGCGGAAGACACCCAACTCTGTGTGGAGATTTCGTCACATGTGAACTGAGCTCGGGGACATGAACAGTTGTTGCGTGGTGCGGAAGCATGACAAGTTTTTCCCAGTGCGGAAGCACTTAGATTTGTTGTGCGATGACTGCATCACAACTGACCTCAGTTTGGCGGGAACGTTGAACATTTGCTGCTAGGTGCTGCTAAACTCGGTTTGTGGTAGACCTAGCGCAGCTAGTCGAACTGTTTGCAGAGGAGCAGAGACGGCGTTGATTTTCTGGTTCAAACACCTGAGCGTTTTTGATGCACGAACCAATCCATGTTTTTCGGGGGAAAAGAGGTTTCCGTGTCCCGGTTTTCCCTACCGGGTTTGGTTTCAACGTCCCTAGGCCGAACTAGGGGAACTTAACGCTTCTCGTGTGTGTGTGTGTGTGCGTGTGCGTCTGTGTGGGTGTTTGTGTTTCTGTATTTTTGTTTTGTTTGTGTTTTTGTTTTGGTGTTAGGTAGTTGCTGATTTGTTTTGGTGTCTGTGTATATGTGTGTGCGCGCGTGTTTGCTTGTGCGTTTATGTTTGCGTTTGCGTTTGTGCGTGTGTGTTTTCGAGCCTTCCCTCGTCTTTGTTTTTGTGTCTGTGTATATGCGTGTGTGTATGAACCTTCCTAGTCCATGGAGGCAGGGAGTCACTTTCATTTGACACAGGGGGGCAGTGCACGGCTGACAGTCACTGCTCAACGAAGACACTGTCAGACCGTGGTGATGCGGCATGGGACGCCATGCTGTGTACCGGCAACTTTTTCCAGCGAAGTCACCACTCCGAGCAGGTAGCCTTGTCCGTGTGCATGACAACGATTTATGTTTTGGATGCCCTAAACGTTCAGTGCCCGACTGCTAGTGATTTGACTGAAAATGTGTGTGAAACGCTCGGCTCGTCCGGCATGGCGCCGAGTGAGCCGGGGGAACACCCCGTCCTCCCTCAGAAAGCGAGTTCAGTGATTCGTCCGGAGGTTGATTTCTTGAGGTTCCCGGTTGCTCGGAGGCCCACCTCAAGGCCTGTTAACTGCACTTTGGTTGTTCAGATTCAGGTTCCCTCGTTTGCACGGCAAGGCTGCATGCGAGGCTTTGAGGTCGTTTTGATCCTGCCACACTCCCTCCTGTGCAGATATGCAGTGCCTGCTCTGCACGCATTGCGTTGCGCTGCCTGCGTTGCTTGCACTGCCTGCACTGTTCGCATTCTGCAGTGCTTTTGGTTTCCTCATGTTGTTGATGACTCAAGCCGGTGCGCGTAGAGCTCACCGCGCGGAGCGACGCTGTCGTGCCTCATCCGAGAAGAAGCGAGGTCAGTTATGTGCATTCATGCAGCGGATTTAGCGTTGTGAACATGTCATTTCTTTGCCTTGTCCTGCGCGATCCGGTTCATGTTTCATGCATATTGCTGTGGACCATCCTTTCCCCGAGATGCACGCGAACCTGGCCCTGCCATGGAAGACGTCCACGTGATATCGTCACAAGAGGCCCAACCGATGACAGCTGTTTCCACTGACGGTCTCTTCGAGCCAGCTGGGCCTCGCGATGCCAACGGTGCACCCGGTCATGCCCAACCTTCTTTGTTGTTGGCGGAGTACTGTTTCCCTCCGCCCCCTGTGGCTTCTCACCTTGCCCCTGAGCCGACTACCAACCGGGAGTGTCCTTTGTCTCCCGCTTCGGAAAAGCTGCCTTCTTCTCCAATTACACCGTTATTGACGCCACGTTCCAGCACCTCATCTTCGGATGATGATACCTCTTCTTCATCTTCGGCTCGAACAGGGCCCGTGAAGCCCACTGACCATGGCGTTGTCGATCCGCATCAACCAATGGCTGCACCTACATGGGCAGATGAGTTGGACCAACACCTTCATGCCCTGAAAACTGAAAACCGATGCCAGGGTCGGCCAAGCTATGCGGCCGTCGCGAAGAAGCTGAACATGTCCATTGTTGACGCTCAAACCCGTTGGCAAGGCATCAAAGGAGGGGTGAAGCCTTTTTCAAAATGAAGTGATCCTTGACGCCAACTTCAAGTCTAGGTGTTTCACCGCGGCGTTTCTTCCGTTTGCTGCCCAAGCCCTTCGGGGCTCCTGGTCCATGGAGGCAGGGAGTCACTTCCATTTGACACAGAGGGGCAGTGCACGGCTGACAGTCACTGCCCAACAAAGACACTGTGAGACCGTGGTGACGCGGCATGGGACGCCATGCTGTGTACCGGCAACTTTTTCCAGCGAAGTCACCACTCCGAGCAGGTAGCCTTGTCCGTGTACAGCTGTACCTTTTCCGGCTTGATAACGATTTATGTTTTGGATGCCCTAAACGTTCAGTGCCCGACTGCTAGTGATTTGACTGAAAAAGTGTGTGGGGGAGGGGGGGAACCTGTGGATGAAGCTCGTGAGGTAAGCATGACTGATATGGCGAATGCGGATGCCCTGAAATCCTTAAACCCAGAAACCTCAGCGTGAATCCAGTGCGTCCGTGAGCGCACTTTCTGGTCGGCTCATACTGCGAATGCCGGACTTTGTGACAACGCTAAAGCCAAAGCAAGCAAAACTCCAGGCAACTGGGGCGTTAGCAAAGAGCAACGTCTGCGATTCAGGTCATGGCAAAGGGTCAATGCTTGCAGGACCTGGTGAAGAACATCGGGGAGCACCAGCTGCAAGCCATCCTTGCATACACGCACGATCTTCAGGACACCGCAAAGACCCTTTTTGGTATCCCTTGGCGGCGCAAGATCGGCGGCAGGGTCCCTTTCAAGGGCGGTATTGACAACCCCCCCTTCCCAACCCCATTTTTCTGTTGCCCGGACCCATGATTCCATAGGATGGAGTCAATGGAAGCGAGTTGCATTGAGAGGCGCCGTCCGGCAAAGCCGGAAATCTCTACTTCGAGCTGAACAACGCCCTCCGAAAGCGTGGGGTGGAAGACCGGGCTTCTATGATGAGGACCTGGGGCCCATTTGTTTGCTATGCTTCGGCCTGAGTGAAGGAACCTGTTTTTTTTTTGCTCCTGCCGTAGTATAGCAAACCAGGGCTTGCCAGGTTGTATTCATATATATATATATATATATACAAATTGATTAAGCCAGGGGCTTCCCAACCATCTTGGTTGCTCTTGCATATGGTAGCTTGCCTGGAAAATGCGGCAACCCGGATGACTTTGGGGAGAGAACTTGAAACTTTGCTCTCTGAGGCATTGAAGGGTATGGGTCAGCTGCCTGCGCACCAAGGCCCGTGTTGTGACATGTTCATGTCCCATTTTTTTGATCCGATCTGCGAGGTGTGGTGTACCGGGGCATGCCCGGAAAAGATTTTGTGCTTAGCCAGTACAAGAAAGGGCGCAGAGGGCTCAGCCTTCTTCGGAGTGTCTGCGAAGCTCTGCGCAAAATCGGAACGAAGCTCAGGTCCCATCCAGTGGGGCGCGTTTTCTTCCACATCAACCTCCAAAGCCAGCTCCGTACAATTCATGGAGGCCGCTTCATGCCCATGCTATGAATTTAAACAGGGCCTCGGGTCCCTCAAAAGTGGGAGGTGGACGATTGAGACATCAATCGTCCACCTCCCCAATTAGACCCCCTCCCCATGGTTTCTGGGCTCAGCCGGACGTAACTTGAGCCAGGCAGATGGTGTCCTTCTGAAGATCGATGTTCAGAGCGGACGGAAGCTCGGTCAAGGCCTCGGTCGGTGAGGCCATTGGCCGACCTTACCGAGCTATGAAAAGAGGACCCCTGTGCTTTGCGACACATTGGCCAAACAGGGTTCCTTAAAGGGGACACATTTTGCATATGCACTCACATCAAATGCCAGCTGTTTCAAAGGTTTCCTGCGTCCAGGTCGATTTTGAGGTGTGTCCTTCAAGGAACCCTGCCAAATCAGATTGTTTGCGTTTGTGAAGCTCGTTTTCACAAGTCCGGCGCAGGAGCATGCGTAACACGCCTGAGGTGCCATCTCATTTTTCCCCCAGGAGGAGGAGGCCGAGATCTTGTGTGCTGAGTGTCGACTTTGCTGGGATCAATCTTGATTCGAGTTTGGAAAGCGCCGCTCGGATGGGCTTATGCATGTCAAGGAACTATCTAGAGTCTCCAACCCCCCGTGATTCAGGGGCCATGCTCCTATTTTGTTTGGGGTCTTGGAGATGCTTTGTATGCAACAGACCATGCAAATTAAAGCTGCGATTGACGCAGCCGTTGGGGCGCATAGCTTGTGGCGTCTCAGCGCCAAGGGGCCCAGGGTAAAGCGAAACCGCTCGGTTTCAGTGCACAAACATGGGCAAACATGATAACTGCCAGCGCGTAACACCAAAAACACGAACATGACGTGGCAGCTCTAACATTCGCTCTTATCTATTGTTGCCCCGCCCTGTCACCTTTCAAAGGCAACACGTCGACCCGGTTTTGACCCTTGCAGGTGATACTGTCGCCCAACTGCAGATTCGTAGTCACATCCGATTCCTACGAGCAAGATGGAGTGACACTGCCAGCATCTCAGTGCCTGGGATGCCTCTGGGAGATTCGCGGAGCGGGATGCCGATCGCTGGGTCAACGCGGGACCAAGGGTGGACCTAGTGGAAACGACGACAGATGCCTTCATCTCCTGACTTGCTTGCGCTTTTGATTTTGGTTTCACAAGATAAGTTTCACAGCACTACGAGCACATCCCCAGGGCGTCCGCAGCCCGCAGCCCGCAGGAAGCTTGCCGGACAGAGACAGTTGCGTGCTTCAATTGAGCCCCTTCAAAATTTCAGTCCACCACGACCAAAACCTCCAACCGAATTGGGTCACTCTTTTGGATGCCGAAAACCATGTGGAAAGCGGCAGCTGCGGAAATCTAGCGTATCACTTCCCGGGCGCCCTGTAAGAATGACGGACCGACCCCGACAGACGTTGCAAAAGAGGGCCGTCCGGCGGTGCGTGCTGCAAGCCACGGTCTCTCGAAATTTGGGACCGATTCCTTAAGGGTTTCTCTTGCCATCCCAGAGGGGGGGGGGGGGGGCATATTTTTTTGAGAAACGCCGGAGCCGAAGTGTTTCCAAGCCGTCTCCCGTTGATGAAAAGCAGTGCTGAAAAGACATATATATATATATTAATATATATATATATTAATATATATATATATATAATATTGTCAGGTCGCGCAAGAGGTTTGCCAAAAATTCTATCAACGAGGCTTCCCTTTGAGGCCGATGGCCTGGATCCTTTGTGCCAACAGCTTTCAGCTCCCCCAAGTTTGTGACTACATCTTTGTCGGTTGTGAGAGACACCGAACACGTGGGTCGCACTTGACCTGATGAGTTTAACACAGACCGTCTCACAAAAAAAGAAGAAAACACGCTCAGTGGCATGCACCTTCATAATACCCAGCATATGGATGTGTGCTTCTTCTTTTTTTTTACGACGGGTCTTGAGTTGGTACCCTTTTTGAATGGAAGAGAAACCAAGAGCCGACATCCATATGCGGTCCCTATTTTCCCTACACGCACTTCAGACCTTGAGACTCCTTTGTACTTGAAGGAGCGGGCCCCATCAAATTTTCTCGTCAAGACATGGGCGCGAAAGAAACTCCGAGTGGGGAAAAACCACCTGGCGATGGGATCCATTTTTGGATTGCATAAGCTTGAACCCAATGGTTGATTTCCAAAAAGGAGAGCCCCTGGGTTGAAGTCGGACGGGTAATCTAATATCAAATTAATGGAACCCGTGGCATGGCTGTGTCCTTTTTGGGAATCGTTGAAACCGCACGCGCGCGAAGGCAAGTCACTGGCTCTACATTGGGTGCTCTGACAAAAGGAACACGTCAAAGGGCCCCCCTGACTGCTGGCGTAAGTGGATCACACGTGAAGCAACACATCCGGCAGAACAAACACATAGAGCTTACGAAAAACCTTAAACGCTTCGACTTGTGAGGCCTACAGAACCGGATCGCCGGAGAGAACGCGTTTTTGTTCGAACGTTTGGGTGGAACCGGTTCCAACGAGGTGTTTTCCCGATGACCCTCAGCAGTCCAAGCACCTCAGGGTGGCTCGTCTTCTTGGGCTCGGACCGGCGCAACGGTTTTCCTTTAAAACCACCAAACAAGGGGTACCAACTCCAAAAACGACACACCAAAAAGGTGTCCCTGAAATATATCGCCCCTCTCATTGACCTTTCCGGAGGTTGGGAGATGCATTGTGTGTCTTGTTTGAGGGTACCCCTTTTTGGTGGGAAACCAACATGAAAACCCGACATTTGGGCGTTCCCCTAAAAAAAGACTCCCATTTCCAGATCGCAGACCGTTACCAGCTGTTTCAATGGTTTCTGCCTGTCGGCGGGTTCAATTTTGTGTATCCTTTAAGGGAGCGGCAAACACATGACGCCGGCGCCGGCTGCGTTGCCTCCTATGGCGCTCGCTGCGAGCGCTGGGCGCTCTGCTGCGCTTGGGGTGCTTTTGGCAAGAGGTCGGCGGGGCGGCGCGGAAGGGGGCTATGGTCTTTATGTGGCCTCTGAATTTGATAGTTGGAACCACCTCATGTCAATTTTGAAATTTGGAACCACCTCATTTCAGTGGTTGTTGGACAAAATCATCCCCCACCTCCACCGAGTTCTGATGTCCACCATTTCGAGTCCCCAGCTTTAAAAAAACCACACGGCCATGTCTTTCTTCAGCTGAAAGGTGTGACCCCAGCTGAGTCGGAACTTGGGGAGCCATTTGAGCCATTTGAGCCACTTGCAATCAAAACCCAGACAAATCGGTGCGGATTGCTGCCTTTCTGTTACATCTTTACATTGGTTTGGGTAGACCATTTCAATACCGATCGGTTTGATTGTGGCTCATTTGTTGCAGCTGTTCTTTTTGTGTTCGGCTGACATTGGCGTTGCAGCCCGGTCTTTTCTGAAAAGGAACCAGTCGAATGCATGGGGCGATGCGCCGAAGTGCCGAAGTGCCCCGAAGCCGTACGGGAGGTGATGTTTTTTTTGTCAGGTTTTGCACAAGGGTCGCCGGCCCGGATCACCTCCAAATACCCAAGGCCGCGTTTGGTAGTTGGTATTTTGTTGAAAACCGATCGGTTGAAACCAGGGTAAATACCGATCCCTTATTTAGTAAAGAGTCGACATACCCTGAAAAAAGCTGGGGTATTTGGAGGTTACGGGGGGTTATTTTGTAGGGTAATGGGTGTGTGCTGGAAGGGTATCTAGTTATTGATGTTTGAACTACCCAGGTGTTCTTTGGGGGTATTTGAAGAAGGTATCGAATTTTCGTAGGAAGATGATCGGTTGAATCCATAAACATGGATAGGGTTTACAGATGTTTTATTTTGGAAGCCATCCCTTACACACGGGCTACGATTCCATTCCCCCAAACACCGAGGGTACCAAAAAAGGGTAGCTACCAAAAGTGTATCGAGGCAAAGGGGGGGGGGTCTCCTCCAAATCGACATGAGTATCTAGTGGAGCCCCCTTTTTGAAATGCTTTTCGTCGGGAAAGCCGAGAGGAATTCGAATTCCCTGTTTGGCACTTACAGGGGTCACCCCCCAATGCCGAGTTTGACTCCGGAGGGGAATGTGCCCCTTGTTTAGAGGTATCCCGAAAATGGGCTTAGCGGTTCTCCGGATTGGTTTTCCTTTACCACCAAAAAATCGGGCTAGCTTTCGCCTAAGACGAGCCCACAAATTTCCCCTTCAACTGTTCGAGAAACCTCATGGCGAATGGGGGTAAAAAAGGGGGTCGTTTTGGTGCAGGTGCCTTCTTGGCACTCTGGGAACATGAACTTGATCTTCGCTGAAAAAACACAGGTTGCATTTCTGCTGAATTTCACTTTGAAACGAGAGGAACATCTTGAGGGGCGATTTCGTTTGTAACTGGGGTTTGCTTGTCCATGAGGTAGGTTTTTGCGAGAAGGGTCCGAAGGTTTTCGAGCGTTCTCTTTGCTCCGAAGCGCGAGGCTGGCATGGCGCGCAAGCCGCGGTCGCAGATCGCACCGAAGGCGAATGAACGGCTGCCAGAGATTCGAGTCGATTTCCCGGGCTCGATGTCGATCGGCTGGTTTGAGACGTGGGCCTTTTGAAGCATTTGGACCAATTTCAGAAAAGGGTTCGGCAAAAGCCCTCGAAATGTCCTTGGGACACAGTCTTCACGGCAAAAGGGACTTTGGGCACTTTGGGCGTTACTTCTCCGGTTTGGACCATGCGGCAAACAGTTTGAGTTTTTTACCGACCCGCAGTTTTGCATACCTGGAGTCTCCTTTTGACCCGAATCAGACATGGGGTGATTACTCAAAAGAAAGGGGTCATGGGCAACCTATTTTTGATTCGGGTCAGAAGGAGACTCCAGGTATCGGTATTTTGAGCACATCGAAAGATGGGACCTTTTCGTTTGTAATTTGGATTGGAGATGTTTCTCAGGCCGCTTCGAAGCCATCGATCCAACAACCAGAATTTCAAATCTTTAATCCCAGGTCCCATCCAAACCAACTGAGGGTTATGATGAGTGGATTGGCAAAGAACTTAATGGATAATTTGGACAACCATGGTACCCCCTACTCCAAATACCCCAGCTTTTTTTAGGGTATGATGTCAACCCTTTACTAAAAAGGTGGCATTTACCATGGGAAACCGATCGGTTCATCAAAAAATGCCGTCCGTTTGTTTGCTTTCTTGCTGCCCTGAAAAGCAATAGGACTCCTATGTGTGGTAGAAAAACAAGCCAGAAAAGGCTTAACCAAGCACCTCCAAAGGGTGTTCGAGTCTTGTTTCCTCCTTTGGGTTTTTCTTCAGAAACCGGCAAATCGTTTTTTTCATCGCAAATCGGCTTCTCGGTTTGCATCGCTTTGCGCTGGGCTTAGCTAAGAGGGTGGCTGAAAGGTTCCATGAGGCCCCCCACATGAATCACCTCGGCCCCGAGAAGAGGCCTGGTTGGACATGGAATCAAACCTCCCCCCGTAACCACCCAATACCAACGCTTTTTTTAGGGGTATGTCGACCCTTTACTACAAAAAGGATCGGTATTTACCATGGAAATCCGATGTTTTTCGGAGAAAATACCAACTACCAAACGCGGCCTTTGGTATTTGGAGCTTTGCGGGGTAAGGTCCAGGACCTGTCAACCTCAGGGGGGGAGGAGTAACCTAGAGGCCCCCCGCGTAACAGTCTCACTCCCTGAGTTCCGGGACTCGGACTTTAGTATCTTTTGGGGTTTGGACCATTTGAGTGGTAGATAAAAAGTTTGGGTACTCTTTTTGGCCAATCCACTCGATCGGTGAGCTGTAAGAAGGGGCCCTTTTGAGTATTCAAGGACCCTTGTGAGCTGATCTTTGCTCAAACCTCAGACCTCCTAAGGGAAAGTTTACATCGTGGCTATAGAGTTTCGTTTTTGCCCTGCTAGTTGGTGGAAACCTTCTTTCGTTTTCGGATTTTTCGCAGTCATCTTGCTTGGAGACCCCCTGGCCCCAAAAAACGGCCGGAAATGGGAGGGGGGGGGGGGGCGGCGGCCGTAAAGTTTAGCTTTGGGAAACCAAAGCAAGCCCGGTTTTCCGGGTTAGACGAATCTATCCAACTCAGCCGGCCAGATACCAGCTGTTTCGACGGGTGATGGCATTTACCGGGTGATTTTGCGGCGTAAGATGCCTTTGAGAAATGCCGGGACCCCGGAAAAGGGAACCGTACCACCTTTGGCGTTGGCCGCTGCCAGCTTTGAGTTATGACTGACTCAAAGGAGAGATGAAAATCCGAT